TATTATGGAGAACACTGCATTAGAACTAAATAATATTGGACAATAAACCGGTCCGACCGGTGGCAGTCCCCGGCGCCTAGGGCTTCACACATGCAACTCGTTATACCATTGGTATAAGTGAGTGTAGTAAATATACATTTGTGTATTTATAATGTATGTATATAAGTTAGTTTGTATTTAGGAAAGCACATTTGTTATTTAATAAATATATAGCAAGAGTAAATACTAATACTACACTGTTTCCTTTTTTATTGTACGCACACAGCCCGCTAGTAATTAATGCTCCTTTCCACTCAAGGTTTGCTGAAAGTTAATTCTTACAGAGTTAAGCTCACCAGTTAGTTACATTTCCATGTGAAATAAATTATAACAATGTAATTTTTGTATAAAATAAAGTGTAAATAAATAAAACTACTTATTTGATTCCGGCATAGAATAGGCCAGCCCTTCCTTTCTCGTGGTTTTGTAAGAGGCGACTAAGGAGGGCGAGAGATGAGCAGCAGCGTCCCTCTTAAAACATCATTAAAATCTAACCCGATTGCGAAGCGTGGCAACAACAGGCACGACTCCCTTCTGGGAAAGGCCTATGCAGCCTTCAGTAGCGGACAGTTAACGGCTAATAAAATAATAATAATAAAAAAGATTAGCTTTACATTAGATTATTATTATATTCAGTTACTGTGTATATATACCTAGATGGTATTTTTTTTTATACAACTTAGAATGGCAAACAAGCTGACGGCCCACCTGATGGAAAGTGGTAACCGTCGCCTATAGACAAAGCAGTACCATGGACATAACAGAGTATACTGTTTTGCCCATAATACCCCCCATGCGTTGCTATTCCTGAAGACTCAGATGTTATTCCTCTGTACCCTGTAAATTCACGCCATATCCCACCCTTCAAACCGAAACACAGCCATCCAAACACAACTGCTTCATGGTTGAAACACGAATGGGACAGAGGTACCCAAGCAATCGGCTTTTGTACAAAGTCTCCCTCTGGTAAAATTATGATATTTATGAATCAGTTAAACCATAGAATATCATAATTTAATCTCTACTAATAGAATATTGTGGAACTCACTTTATTTATTTGTTACATGTTAGCACCTTAACAGCTTAACCAATCACTATAAAGTTGATATATACGTATTACACGAGATGGAGAACATATGCTGCATTTTATTACTGTTAATGAATATATATCGGTTACGAAAACGCGGTTAAAAGTATAACTTTTGTAAGATCATAACTGTAATATAGAAAAAAATATAGGTAACACTAGTAAATAATATTTTACACATTAGATACTTACGGATGCCTGCGTGATATCATAGTATAATTTAATGTATGTTGAATTTATATTTCATTTTAATCGGTATAAATCTTATTTAATAATGTCATTATATCATTTAATCCTACTCACCTAGAACTGTATTACGGTTCATTGGATTATGACTATGTACATTACATTGAATATTATAATTTTTTTATGACCGATATTGAACACACAAGGCAAAAGAAAAAAAGATCCATAGAAATGAGTTCCCTGTATTCTTTTAATAGTCACAGAATGCAAATTACTATATACGCGTACCTAATTATAGTTCATGATCATAAGATTGCTTAAAGTTACACTAGTTATTTCCGCTTCTTTCCCGCGGGTTTTCTTTTCTTTAATTTAAATGTAGGGTTCTAGATAATGATTGGTAGAGCCCTGAAAAGCATATAGATACATTTGATCTTGATCTTAATTAGTAATCACTTCAAATGAAGATGCTATTATAATATATTTTACAGACAAAAACATAGGTTCAAAATGAAAATAATTATTACTACCTATTATTTTTCAAATAAGTATTAATTGTCATTTAGCATATTATATTGTTTTGATAGTTTGAAATTTTACACATTTTGAGAGTAATTTTAAACTTTCTTTAACTGAACATGATATAGAAAGTGCTGTTGTAACATATCTAAACATTTCGTCAAAATCGATAGAAAGTGATCTGTACGTAAAATCCAAACATAGATAACATTATAAAAATAATATGGAAGTCGATATTTTCATACATCCAGATGCAAATGCAATAAGAACTATTAAAAAAATAAGTAGATGAATCACTCTAAAACATATGTGTACCTATCGTATATTTTATTGTATCTACTTACCTACAATTAACAACCAGTTATAATTAAATTTTGCCTATAACTTCGTACGCGTGAATTTGGAGATAGGTACTCGTAACCACTTCTAGATGGTACATCAAAATAAAATATAAATTAGTCAAACTTTCAGAAACACATCTGTAAAAAATTGTTACACTTATTTATATTCTTGTGTATATTTTATCTGAAGTGGAAGAAGTCGTAAATTCCATTGCAAACAAAAACTATCAATATTAAAAAAAAAAATGAATGGGCAATAATAATTAATATGATATAAATTATATAACAAGGGTCGACAAATAAGCACAGATTTCCGGCAAGAAAAAGGGTCGACACGCGACTAAATTGCGGGCACCCAGATAAGTAATATATTTAGGTAGCTAATATAAAGGCATTTTAACGCATCAGTAACTACTTATTTATTATAATAATAAGTAATAAAAATATACAACAATATGCAGTAGACAACTTTGTAAGATATAGCCACTGTGAAATGCATATAATTTTATCGACATAACTGCAAGTTCCGTTGGTATAGCAGTGTTAAAGTCTACCATGATCATTATTTCTTGTATCAGCACGATCGTAAAACTTGAGCATTTTAAGAATTCTTAATATCAATCAAACATTAAATTAATATATGATCATTATACATCAGATGTAGTAGCCATTGCTGTCGATTGGTAACGGTTCCCCATGAACACAACACGATTACCGTAGTTATACGAAACAATTTTATTGAAGTAAACGCAATGGATGGTGATCAGTTTTAGACAAATTACTAGCCACAGCATTCTATAAATCTTATCAAATATATCTACGCCTCGGGAGATCTACAAACAGCCGAAAATTATTATAACAAGTATATACAATCATAGTATATTATATCCTCATTGCAAATATTGAAAACGTATATCTTCCAAATACAAGATAAAATTTATGTTCCGGTATATCAGTAAATCATAAACAATGGTTTTCCATTATACAAACAATTTCCTTGTTATTAATTCTTTGCATCTTCCATTCACAGTGGTTCCATTGTAGGCTTACACCGAAACGCCATTCGCCCTCAAACTGCACATTTTACGCCACAAATCGCCTCTCTTCTGAAAATCCCGTAAGCCGCGTCAATGACATGTCATAAAACTTAAATGAAACCTGTGTGGCCTTTGTTCTTTACGCCAAAATATCTAGTTTTCCCGCTAACAATAGCCCATTCAACTATAGCGGCGTCTAAGAATGATAAATATCGACAGTTTATATAATGTGTCTACTTTTCATGTCAAACTCGAGTGAACTAAATGCCTATTGCCATTGAATACAATAAATAGTTTATCCACTGAAAATTAGTAGTAAATTAGTACCTATAATTCAAACATCAGTGCAAACGTTGGAAACTCACACAGAATTGATTGACCGTTCATAACTCTTGAGATACGCGTGTCGAAGATCCGACCCACCACCATGCCAGTTTGTCAGTGTCATTACACCGTAAAATATTGTCACATCAATAATATTTTAAACCGTTCTTGGTTTAAACGTGTGATGTTTGCACGGGACAGTTAAATAAACACCTACCAAAAGCTGTGCGGGCGCGGAAACACGGAATTACGAAAAGTCAATAAATCTGACGCGTGCCCACGTTCGACTCTTCAATTAGAAATATGTAACACATAAGTATAAAGTTTAAAGTCATCGCGTGAGCGTGCAATGTGTGTGCGAGCCAAGTATATTTTCTCAAAGGTTATAAAGTAACCAACAGCGGAGGAAATCATGTGAACTAAGTGAAATCGAACATCGAACAATGCTCATGAATTTTTGCAACGAAGTGCAGGCTTTCACTGAGCACTTCTTATATTTTATCATTCTCCTTACGATTTATTTCGAGATACTATTTTCACTCAAAATTACTTTCATTCAAATGTCATACAAATGTAATTTTAATATCGCCTATTAGGTAACAATTGGACGATTAGATGCGCTGGTCGTAACTCGGGCAATATGAACGAAAAGCCACGATTTTTATGGCACTCGAAACGTAATTTGAAGTCACTACTTATGACCATAATTTGTACTTTTTAATAATTTAATCACGTCATTTAATATCAATGTTAGTTTATTTATTTATATTATAAATAAAAATTAATACAAGGAAATAGCTTCTAAATCACAGTATAACATTGATAATGTTTAACTCTATTTTCAACCTTAAAAAAGACTTAAAAAAGAAGGAGGTTCGGATATATAATTTTTAATGTATGTAACCTCATAACTCTATTAGTTATAAATCAATTTAAACAATTATTGTTTTATCGGAAAGGATATTCTTACAGATTGGTCTCACAGAAATGTTATCTAAATCGGTGCAGTAGTTTAGTTTTAAAATAAAATAAAATTGGTTTTGTCACAGTTGAAGTCAGTTTTTTTTTTTTGTAAAATTAATTATTAATATTTTTAATTTTATTGTGAAAAGTTTCGTAAGCACACATATTTTAATGTAATGACTACTGGTTCCTTTAGTAATGACTAAGAATCACGAATTGATTCAGAAACTAGTCGAGCTTATTCGATCTAATTACACGTAAGTTAAACCAATAGTTATTACATTCAAATATTTTTAATACCTATCATACCTTGGATCATATATTGGAACATATCTTGGAATGAGATGAACTAGTCCGTCTTTATAAGATACAATTTTAAAAATAAAACAATAACCGTTGCATGTATTTATTAACTGTAGTTACTTACAATAATTAATACTAATAATAAATTATAAATTAATTGTTTTATATTTAATTTTCATTAATTGCCTTCTTGATCTCCAGGCGGTGAGAGCAATGCAGTTGTGGGACGAATGGCTGGACGTTGGCGGCGCGGGGTGACATGGCCGTTACGCTGCTCCTGTTCCTGAGCATCGCCTCAGCGGGTGCGCACTTCGGCGACGTCTCGCGCCGCGACGCCGGCGATGTCTTCACACTCATTGGTTAGTTGCTGAGGTACGGGTGGCGGATTGACGGCTTCTCGCAGGCTCTCATAAGTCAATATAGATATCTACTGGTTAAAACCGCAATTATTAGCATTCTTTTAAACATGTATTCTACCGGTTAAATTTAAGATTTTTCCCAAGAAACATGTGTCAAATAAAATTAATAAGCCCATACATATAACTAAATTAGAAGGTAAGCGCAAAATGTTTTGTCGTCTTTCGACCATTTTTTTTTTTTGGAATAATGTTGGGTTTCGCTAGTGGAGCATTATTTAAGGATGCATATGATTTCTAATTTACCCTGTATAGAGTATCTTTCACTCATTGTCTACGTATACAGTCGATATATGCATATCAATAGATAGCATGTCATGTGGGGAAAGAAAGCATATTATGAAAGTATTGAAAAAAGTGGACGGACTTAAATGACGTAATAAAACCAAAGATAGGATAGATTTATTAATATTTGCCATAATACTTAATAAATTGAAAGATGATATGCTATATGCATACAAAAGACTGAACCCAGGTATAACGTCTGATATAAATCTATCCGCAATGAACAACAGTACTTTCATATATCTAAATAGAATGTATTTATATTTATATAGTCATAATTTGCAATAGTTCTCTATTGTATGTGTTGTAATTTTTTTCACCGCATAATAAGATTCTGCCAAAGGTTGACTGGGAGAGAATGCTATATAGTATTAAGTCCGCCTTTTGTACCAGACATTTTTTTAATGGGGTAAATAAAGAATAAATGAATAATAATAGAATTATATCACATAATTAGATATTTGTTCTAGGTGTGCAATGTTCTGGCTGAGTGATGAATGATCCATTCTAAAGCATTCTAGTCCAAGGAATAAGTCTAGAAATACCTAAATATATGAATAACGGATCTAAGATTTAATATCATAAATTTTCAGGTGAGGAGTGTGCTCTGGGGCACTGTGGCGAACACGGAGCGAGGGCTAGTACAGAAGTGGTCACAGGTGTTGGAGAAGCCGTCGACGACAGGTGCTCCTGCACGTGCCCGCATCGAGCGCCGCTCTTTAGAGAAGACCGAGAACTGTGTGTCGATGATCTGCCCGGTACAGTACTTTATAATAGCTTAGATCACATTAGAAATCTTTAAATAAACTGTGGCGTAAGTGTCAAAAACGATATTAAAACGATCAAACTGTTGTTTGATGCGTTGTTTTTCAAATATTGTAGAAAAGGCTTAAATTACCTACTTAATGATAATATAATAAATTATTTAATATATTCCGGAAAGCAGGCCTTTTTTTTTAAAGTTTGTCTAGTCTAGATATTTATGATTTAAAAGTGAAAATGTATAAATTCTTCGCATCTCATTTTTAATCATCACATTAGTAATTAATTATCCACTGTTGAACGTAGGTCTACCCCAAAAGGGGAGTTTTGCTAGTAGTTTCCGCGCTTGGCAGACGGGTTGGCAACCGCAGTTTAAGCTTTTGTGATATTTTAAGAAGGACGCTGCTGCTCATCCCTCAACCATTAAGTTCCCTTAGTTACTTCTTACGACACCCATAGGAATACAAATTCCATGCCGTATGCCCATTCTATGCCGTATTATATATTTAACTTTATGATAATATTTTATGGTAGCCGTTTACCTAACTTTTGTATACCTATTAAATATACTCATATTTATTTTTAATATAGGTTTAGATAGATATCTTTATTGATGTATTTTTATTTCCTTGCTTAAGTAATAATATTAGTATTTTTTTTTATATGTAAGCATAAGTTTTAAACATAACTATCTAGTAAAGGCTATCTAGTTCTAGCAAGGAAATAAAAATACAAGTTGAAAATATATGTAATCTCACTTTAATCCAATTTAATTGCAGTTGGCAATATCATCCATATATGAATTATTTATTTATCGTTTCACACATACTTATTTCCATTCTATATCATCCCATCCATATGCATACATATTTAATCTAAACCATTTCCATGATTAATACTGAGAAAACTTATTTTATAACTTAGTTTTTAGAATTGAGTAACTTTCTGCCATTTTATTACTGTTTGAAATTGGATACTTCGGTAGGTAGTTACATGATCACATGCTTAAAAGAATACTATAAATACAAATACAAATACAAAGACTTTACTGTGGATCATAGGTTAAATTAAGGTATTACATGAGTTAAATAGTATCTCCATGTCCTGCTATATAAGCGTACAATATATGGAACAGTTAACAGTATACAAAACATAACATTTAAAATTATACAGTGAAACAAAATACATTTATATGAGACATTATTTTTTACAAATGATGACTATTTATCTTTATCATTGATATATTCGTCCAGGCTATAATAACATTTATTTATTAATATATCATGAAGGTTCTTTTTAAAAACATTTACCTCAGTCAATCCTCGTATATGTTTTGGTAAGTTATTATAAATTATTACAGCTTTACAAAATATGCTGTCCTTCATCAATTTTGTTTTAGATGGTACTACACATAATTGGTCAATATGCCGAGCTCTAGTGCGAAATTTAAATTTATCAATATTTGTTTTTACAAAATTAGCACACTCATAAATATACAAACAAGGCACTGTCAATAATTTTAATTGTTTAAAATGTGGCACGCATGTGTCCCGCCTTCGCAAATTACAAATGGCCCGTATGCAACGTTTTTGATATTTCAAAACGATATCTTTATTAGTAGAGTTTCCCCAAAACAGTATGCCATACCTCAATAAGGAACCTACATGTGCATGATATGACGATAAAACTGTTTCCATATTAACAATTTTACGTAGTTTATACAAAGCATATGCATATTGACTTAATTTTTTACATGTATGCTCAATATGAGTTTTCCAATTAATTTTATTGTCAATGTATAGTCCCAAAAACTTTGTTGTAGTCGTTTCGTCAATAGTTTTTCCATTGTAACTAATGTCAAATTTAATTTCATTATCATGTAGTCGCTGTTTAAAATACATTAATTTGGTTTTTTCGATATTTATTTTCAATTTATTAGAATCAAGCCATTTATTTATTAATGTCAAAGAATTAATAATCTTAATCTTTAAATTAGCAATGTCATTGTCTGATATTAAAATAGTGCTATCATCTGCAAATAAAGTCATATGGTGTCTAGTAGTTAAGGGCATGTCATTTATATATATAATGAATAAAAGTGGTCCTAAAATGCTTCCTTGTGGTACTCCTTTAATTACCGTTCTAGAATTTGATATATATGTTTCTTCTGTTTTTGTACTAATATGTATTTTTACCAGAGGGAGACTTTGTACAAAAGTCGATTGCTTGGGCACCTCTGTCCCATTCGTGTTTCAACCGTGAAGCAGTTGTGTTTGCATGACTGTGTTTCGGTTTGAAGGGTGGGATATGGCGTGAATTTACAGGGTACAGAGGAATAACACCTGAGTCCTCAGGAATGGCAACCCATGGGGGGTATCATGGGTGAAACAGTATAGTCTGCTATGTCCATGGTACTGCTCATGTCTATAGGCGACGGTTACCACTTTCCATCAGGTGGGCCGTCAGCTTGTTTGTCATTCTAAGTTGCATAAAAAAAAAAAAAAAAAAAAAATTTATGTAAGTCATTTGTGATCTACCTGATAAATATGACTTTATTAGGCTTAAAGCAATTCCTCTTATTCCATAATTATATAGTTTTGAAAGTAATATATTATGGTCAACATTATCAAAAGCCTTAGTCATATCTAAATATATTGCAACACTTGATAATCTACGATCCATACCCGATATTACTTTATTAAGAAATTCATAAAGAGCTATATTAATGGATTTATTCTTTCTGAAAGCATGTTGTTCAGGAGCAAATAATTTATTTTGTTCAAAGAATTTATATAATATATTATAAATTATTTTTTCTAATATTTTTGAAAATATAGGTACGAGAGCTATTGGTCTATAGTTATGCATAATCGTTCTATCATCCTTCTTAAATAATGGCCTAATTATAGTAATTTTCAACTTGTCAGGAAATATGCCAAACTCCAAACACAAATTAAAAATATGGCACAGTACCGGAGATATGATGTGAGACACATCTTTAATTACACTAGTAACTATGTCATCATATCCAGCACTGTTAGTATTTTTTAATGCTTTTATAATATAATCTATATCCTGTGGAATTATTGGAGTCATAAATAACTATCTACACTTATGACTTATGTAAACTTCAGAGTTATTAGAGCTGGCTGCTTAGTTACTTGACACAAATATGCCCACTACTGGGCAGGACCTTTCCCCGTAAGAGGAGGATATGGCCATTGTTTTTGCTATTCAATAATATTGTTTTATTTAATTTTTCTTCCTTTCTTACATCGGTGTATTTTGTTTTGTTATTTTAATTTCCACTTGCAATATCCTTGGGATAACATGAAGGTAGTACGTACTCGAATACTTACATTTTGTAGGTGTTCAAATATTTTATAATATATATCGTGACATCATAGCATATCGTCAAAAGTATCAACATTATCAGCATTTTTAAAGTTATTTGGTTTGTTAATGGAGCTTACCATCAATACAGAATAAATAAAAATAAATTGACACACACAGTTATTTTAACTCACAATTTTTGGACCTAAACCCAAGGTCTTGATGTGTCAGCGGAGTCAACCACTGGGTATAATGAAACATTCTAACATTAAGTATCTGTCTAGTATTTATTATATAAAATATCAAGTTTTATTAAGTACTTTGTTAATATTATAAAGTAGAAAAAAATGGTAAATATACTAATAATGTAAGATATTTCCTATTTTAATGATTTAATACAATTATTTGGTTTAATAAATTATTATTGAGCGGCTAGAATAATAACCAAGAATTATGAGCAGACTGTGAATTGATTACATGATACAGACTAACTCCAACAGACATCAAAATCGTCTTTGAATAATAGAGCATCGAGTGTAATTAGGGACTTAATTGTACGTACCTACTCATTGCAACACCAGTTAGATATTTATATAATTAGACTTATTTCCGTTGCATCTCACTTTTTTATATACTTTATTTTATCTGTTTCTGTACGCGTGATGCAATTTTAGGTACAAAAATCTAGTCAAACTGATCTGACTAGATTTTTAGACATCAGACTGATCTAATGTAACGTAAACATATTAGCGACACCAGTACATTTTAATAACTACATTAATAAAGTTAAAAATAAAAATAGTGACGGTGGGCCTTCAATTTATCTACGGTTTTAAGTGTTATTAAGATACAATACCTACTACGGGGTTTAGTCACTTTTAATAACAAAATCTAACAGCCCCACTGCTAACAATATACTATATCAAGTCGACCTCCACGAGGTTCCCCCCCCCCCCCCCCCGCCCCCGGAAACCATCGTTGTTAATTCTTGTGGAATTCGTCATGATAGGCTAACAGACATTTTCATCCTCACATGTTATCTATCACTGGTGTCCCGATAGCGCAAGCGGAGTTACCTTTCTATTATTATCCATAAAAAAAACTTACTATATCACTATATGGTTAAGTAAAGAAATCTCAGAGGTGAGCGACGCATTTATTGTATTTTGTTTTATTTACAGAATGTTCCTTGGCAACATTCGGATCAGGAGCTAGCGAACAACGAATACCACTAGTATATTTACCGCTGAAAGGCCAAATTATTCATCCGTCCAAAGAAATCACATTCAAAGGTGAGACTTTATTATAAGTAATTATTTTACGGTAGTAGGTAGGTACTTAAGAATCGGAGCAAGTTTTTTTTTTTAATTTGAATTATTAATATAAGATATTTTGTATGTTTGTTTGTAATGGATACACTCAAACACTACTATTCTCCACTATCAATGAGTAATATCAACCGTATTTTCTATACAAAAAAAAACCGTGCAAAGCTAGTAATGAATATATTTAAACAACTTGAGGAATTAAAAATAATAAAAATTAAATCTAATATAATCTTTGGGAAGATTTATAGAAATATCTAATGTATTTTCAACCGACTTAAAAAAGAAGGAAGATTTCAATTCGGTTATATGTTTTTTTTAAATGTTTTATTATTATTATATCAGATATTAACTGCCCCCAGTTGAACATAGGCCTTCCCCATAATAGTTTTGTCAATAGTTGCCACGCTTGGCAGGCGGGTTGGCAAGCGCAGTTAGTCTTTGATAATGTTTTAAGAGAGACATTGTTGTCCATCCTTCGATCATTAAATTCCTTTAATCACCTATTACGACAACCATAGAAAAGGAGTGGCTCAATCTGTACTGGAACCACATGGCGTAATATTTGTTACTTCATAACTCCGTCAGTTGTAAATTAATTTGGAAAATTCTCCTTTAATCTGAATGAATATACTTACATATTGGCCCCATAAAAATTTAATCAAAATGGGTTCAGTAGTTTAATTTTTAAATTAAAATAACTGGATTTACCACTGTTGAAGTTCGTTTTTTGTGGAACATACCTTAATTATTATATTTGTGAATAGAATACGAACGGTCTACTCAGTTGTTAATATTAATAGTTGTCGATTTTAAGTCATGATCATTATCATCATTTCAGCCATTATCCGTCCACTGCTGGACATAAGCCGCCCCCATAAACTGCCATAAAGAACTTTTAACTAATCCTAATATAAAACTATTTCAAACGTAATAGAAAACATTACCCACATTACAGATGTGAAGACACCAATCTGTGCGGTCTCGGGCGCTCAATTTCTCACCCGCAAAGGATTCCTGGATCTTCGCAATACACTCGACGCTGATGTGCCCTTCAATTTGTTTCGTGACGAGGGTAGAACATTTTTGCAGGTAAAGAAATATTGTACACCCTCGAAATCACCAGATGTATTTTCGACCGACATCAAAACAATTCTCAATTCGGTTGTATTTTTATTTGTAACCTCATAACACCGTCAGTTATAAATCCTAAAAAATAAAATAATCGCAGATGCTTTTTTTCTGAAAGGATATCCTTACATATTAAGGACCCATAGAAATTTTAATTAAATTGGTTATGCCACAGTTGAAGACGTTTTTTTATGGAACACAATTTTAAATTATAAGTAAATATTTCGTCTTCTCTTAAGGCACCTAAGGTAGATTTTTTATGCCACTTTTATTTTGAATTAGCGAACCAGCATACGACCCACCTGGCAGTAAACAGTTACCATAGCCTATGAACGTCTGCAATATCATAGGCCAGGGGTAGCTGACTTGACTAGACCCAAGATCTACTGTTTACTGACGAAAGCCTATGCGATCTACCAATTACATACCAATTTCAAGAAATTTCAAATGATACAACATAGTTCAGTACACGATTATGTAGTATTGTAATATTTTTTTATTTTATTAAGAAAGAAAACCTAAACCTGAAAAATATTCTTAGTAACTGCTTATTTAATGCTTACATTGCGTCTAAGCATCTTCCGCTAGATTAATAAAAGAATAATAGTCGTGATCGACCGGTTGGCCACCCCCGTCATAGACATTACGTGTGAGTTTCTAACCCGGAAGAAACTCCTTTCCCTCTTTTTACTCTACCTAAAGTAAATAAAATATTTATAAGTTCTGGTTAACTTTTTATAGGTATTTTTGCAATTTTTAATAATGCACTTACGTTTGTCTTTTCTAAGTTGTCACATCAGACACGTTTACAGCCCATCTAATGGAAAGCGATAACCATTGCTCATAGACATGAATAGCACCACGAACAATACAAAGTACACTGTGATGTCTATTGTACCTAGATACCCATGATGCGTTGCCATTCCTGAGAATTGTGTTATGCCTCCGTACCTTGTAATTTCACTGACTTTAATAAAACAAAGGAGTACATACTTTGTTTTATTAGTAAAATAAATAAAAAAAAACTTTTTAATTGTATCCAGTGGAGCGGCGAAGATGAAGTGCGTGGTCGTATGACTGGCCGCGTGATAGTTGTACGTCTATTGTGCCGAGATGTAGCCTCTGCACCAGCATCTCCGCTTGACCTACGTGGTGTGTTCACGCCCTGTGTCGCCTTCAAAGTGCAGGGATCGCCGCCTGCAACTGCTTCCAGTATGTACCTTATTATCAAATAGATTACTTGATCCAACTAGAATAAATCACTTCTTGTTTACTTACAAAGTAGTGAAAATTTATATTAAAAGATGTTCTGAGGCCACAACTCAAACGTAACTAAGCCTATTTAATCGTATGGTCCCGGCATATAATAGGCCACCCCTTCCTTTCCTAAGAGTGTCGTAAAAGGCGACTAAGGGAAGGCGAGTGATGGGTAGCAGCGTCTTAAAACATTTCCAAAGCCTAACTGCGGTTGCCAATTCGCCTGCCAAGCGCAGCAACTACTGGCAAAACCCTCTAAGACAGAGGCTTATGTTCAACAGTGGACAGTTAAATGCTGATATGAGCCTATTTAATAAAAAACCAACGCTACACATTTTTATTAATTTATAATTAGGAATGTCTATAATCAATTAATGAATCAATTTTGAAAGCTCATAAAGATTATTTTACTATATAAATAATAATGTTTTTACTTAATGACTGTTTATTTCGTTAATGTTAATATATACAATAACAGCTATAGGATGAAAGCATTTTCCGAAATGTTATCACAGATGTTTTACTTTTGCTGAATATTAAATGAATTATTAAACATCAGATTTAATCTATTCTTCCAGACGTTACAGAAGTACAGTTCGCACCCAATGCGCATACGTCGGAGACGACAAACACGTCAGGACTCACCATAACAGAATATGTCGCAATTGGCATTAGCTCTCTACTCCTTGGACTCATTTATGTTGCCTCGGTTTTTCTATACCTGCACATTCGAAAACGTCGAAGAGCAGCTTCCAATGAAGGAACTATTAACAGACTAAAGGGTATAAAAAAGAAAGATGGCTCCATAATAACTGAACGTGATATCGTCCGTGTAAAGAACGAAAGCATTCAATCCTTACCAAATTCTCTGGGACAAGACAATGGGATAGTAAAAAATAATCCTCTGCTGAATATACCTCGACAATTTCACGAAGCCAAAAGTTTCCCAAGCGATTCAGGAAGTAATATATCTGATTCTGAAGACTTTGGTGACAGTAGTGCTAAAAGCGAAGAGCACGTGTTTAATGTAAGTCATAAAAATATTTTTTCATAGCTTTTTTGCGCCATATATTGACTAGCTATACAAAATAATTTGACAATCTCAGTAAATGTTTGTATTACATATCGTTTTAATTTCAGAACCAGATAACTTCAGCAGTAGTACATTTACACAATGGTGAATTAACACATCAAAATGAAGCCTCGGAATTTAATCATCGAGATGAATCTAATATTGAACGCCTTCCTGATGAGCACGTTTCCATAGTGGAAACGACAGACGATAGAGAGATAGCACGACCAGTTGGCACTACCCGACGTAAACTTTACTTTAACCCAGCATATTTCGACCCACAGTTGATGGCGGTAAGCAGTAATAAATCACATAATATTCATATTCCTTACAAATTTCAAATAAACTTGGTTAAATTTATTTTATTTTAATCATTGCAGGAACCTCCAGCTGCTGCATTAGAGTTCCTAGTAAAAATTAGAGAAGTAATAGCTATTGCCAAACATAAAATGGCAGCTAAACGCTTTCAACCGATTTTAAATCAAATACCTGAAGAAGAAACTTATCCGTCTATAGGAAATAGCATAGATATTTATCAAGGTCTTGGAAGTCAGAGAAGCGGAAGTGCCATTAGTCTTAAGAGGGAAAATAGTAGAAAGAAAACTGTAAGCTGTGTAGGATGTCCCGGATGCAAATCTGATAATGGTAGTGATATGCATAGCCTGTTAAAATTTGACATGCCTGCTTGTATTAACTGTATGCGAGGTAAAGGTGATAAGCAAAATAGTATTCGAAAGTGGCTCGAAAATATACCAACAGGAAAACAAGGCGAATTTATATCAAGTCAAAATTTAAATAATTCAATTACAGTACGTCCAGTTAGTGAAAGGCACAAAATACGGAAGCAAAATAGTTTTTCGAATACAGAATTTATAAGTCCAAATGATACTTCTCTACGTAAATATTCTTCTATATCCAATAGGTCCGTAAAATCTGAACCACCACTTAGAAACTATAATATTCCTCTTCCTGAATATAATACCACGCAGTGTCAAAACAACTATAATCATTATGATCAATCCGTTTCGCATTTGGATGAGATTAAACCTGATCATATTGAATATCGCTCAGGAAGTCTGAGAAACAACGCTCTAGCTAACCAACGGAGGAATAGATTTATGACAAATAAAAATTCTTTACCAGATATGGTTAACGATACTTTAGATGACTGTTCAAAAACTTATAATCATAGTAGTTCAGATGAGGAACGATTTAACAAAAGTTCCAATAGTGCAAAAATAAATGCCTTTTCAAGACGGACATCCGAGAGTCCCATAGGAAACGATTACGAAACAGATAGTCTCGAACGAACCTCCGCACAAAAAAGAATATCAACACCCACAGACTACATTGAAATTCCTTCTTCACAAGCGAGTCCTAGTTTGAGTAATGCATTACCTCTGGAAGAGGAACTTACGATGAGGAATGCCGTATATAAAACACATTCTAGTAGTAATAGCAACACTCCATCACCACAAAGAGATGTTCGAATTGATCAAAATCATTATGAAACAATTGATAAAATAAAAACTAGAAGTATCGATAAACAAAATATCAACACTAAAACTGATAAGAATGATTATAGCTTAGTAAGTGAAGTATACGTCAATAATAATTATAATTTTGGTAGTACACCAACATCACCAAGTGGTTCTGAATGCTCTATGGGCAGTAGAAAATTAATCTCAAATATCAATAATAATGTAGAAGGCAAACCAGGTTGCTTAACTATAGAAGTCGTAGATCCACCAGAAAATTACATCAAAATTCACGAGTCTGATGGTTTCGAACCCGATACACTTGATAGAAAACATCCAAAACACAAAGAAATTGTAAAAAGTATTCAGTCCAACAAAAATAACTTCTTAAGCAATGAAGGTAATAAAACTTCATCTTCCAATCAACGAATACAATTAAGAAGTAGCGGAACTTTTAAAAAACCAAATCAAAAGACAGAAAACATGTCAAAATTTAATAGCTTGAGAAATGAATATGAATATCGCAAAAGTATTCACGAACGACCCAAGTTATTACCGAACGCGTTCAGTGGATCAAAAAGTTTAGATGAGACGGATAACACTGTTGAAGATCTCGAAGACTGGGCTACAGAAGAAGGGCGTATATTAACCTTGGAACTTAGACATTCTAAAAGACAGCGCCAATGCACACCACCAACAATTAAACAATTAAAGAATTTAGCGCGACCTGACATCCTTCCCCCGTTACCGCCCACTGAAGACAGTCCAATATATGAGCAACCCGCATATCCACCACGGAAAGTAGAAATTGAAACACATATTGGATCACAATCAAAAAACGTGAGTGGCAGAAGCCTCAGCCCGAGAATAAATACTAAAATTACGGCAACTGAATCCTTGTCGAACAACTTAAATTCTATACCAAAAAATTCAAATTATGGACCTTCCTGCAGTCCATTGAGAGCTTCTGACCAATTACAGTTCTCGGAATACGAAAATGTAGAACTAATAAATGATAAAACTAAAACGGGTGAATTTTGCAGGAATTCAAATAGAAGATCAACAGGAAGAAGTAATAATTGTGACATTAATACTAATACTTTTGTAAAGGAATCAAAACAAGAAATACAATCAAAACAACGATTTAGAAGAAGAAAAGGTAAAAATGTAGAAGATTCTGGTTATTTAAGTAGTGATTCGATGAGTTCGAGACAACAAGTTCAGAAGAAATTGATTACCGTTCCCAAAATTGTAAGTTGTAGTGAAAGTGACGATACAGAAAACGAAGCTAGAAGTGAATCTGGTGCCGAAAGTATAGAAACACATTCAGTTTATTTTGGTAGTTTTAGGAAACCCCAAATAAATATTGAAAACAATGGCAATAACATCAAAGGTGAAAGAGACAGTAGTAAAAAAATAAAGCGTTCTAAAGATTGTGTATAGAGACTTGTAAAAAATAGTGCAATAAATTTAACGAACTCTGTGCAATATCATGTGCAATAATATCCTTATACTTACGAGTATTATAGATAATAGATATTATATTAATATACACTAATTAGGTATAACAATACTGATTCATACCTCTATATCAGAAATAATTATATTGTAAATATGGAAAATAGATAATACATAACATAGAAATAACAAATGGCCGGACGTGCAATGCAATCGTAGTATAGTTTTGACATATATACAATAAATCATTGTTTTATATTATTAGCAATTTATTTATCACTAGAAATGTTATATAAGTTCAATGGAATGACTATTTTTGTGCTATATTTTTTATATAATTTATTATCATGTAAATACCTAAGGAAGAGTCAGGCGGCATAATATGGCTTCCTAGTACCTGACAGAATCTAAAAGTGCTCCAGAGGGATTTAATCTACTGCTTTTCGTAGGCGCCCTCTGTTAGAGCACAGGTAAATATGGTAGTGGCATTCGACGTTGGTTGGGAACAAACAATCTTTTTTTTAAATAAAACATTAATAGAATTAGATATGCCTATAAAGTTTTCTGATAATGCGTTACTAGTATATAAGTAACAATAAACAAGTCGATATTAATACACGTAAATAAACTAGATTGCTTGTTACCAACAGTCAGGGATCTTCTTTCGGTTGTGGTAAATATTATAAAAATTTGTTAAGTATATTATATTGATATTTTTTTCTGCACTTGACATATTTAGTTAACAAAAATCTTGGCATGTCTATAATATCGCAATAATTTTTCAGAAAATTGTATAATATTGCGCAGTTCTGAATATACAAAAATTAAAACGATGATATTAATTTTTATAAATAGCATATAACTTTGGTCCATTTTTAAATAAATAAATGCAATAAAAAGACAGTAAGATTGTTTACTGATTGTTCTAAGTGTGAAAAAAAAAAATACAATTAGTAGTATGTGCAATCATGATACTAAGTCATACTCGAGTTGCGAACTTGATTATTATCGAGTAGGTAAATTACTAAAACAAAAAGTTACTTTATCTTCGTAATGTCTTCATAATCTTCATAGTAATTTAGTTTAATAACAATTTAGATCATTTCCACCGAGCAGGGGACTTAAGTGGCATTATTTTATCCAATCGTGGTTAGATTAGTTTGATGCTAGGTTTGATGGCTAGATATAATTTTTATCAAACCAAACAAGTTTGCCCATGAAATTTTATGTAATTTAATTAAATATATTTGTAGACAATATACATAATATAGCTGATCTAACGGTGCTAAGAAATTTCAAAACTGGAATACCGGGTATTTAATTTCTAATGGGTTTTTGCAATCCTTTTTTAATAAGTTTTTTTATAAGATTATTTTTATAAATTTTATTTATTTGTTATTATATGGTCATGTTTGTTTTGCTTATTGTTCGTGTTATTATTATTTATTATTAAATAGACAATATAAATAAATGCTCAATAATTAGTAAATAAGATATTTTTAATTGTAACAAAATTATAGAGATTGTATACTATGCTCTCTGTATAACCAATCTTGATATTTTAATAGATAATAATTAAAACATTTTAATTACTAATTAACAGCAATATGATTTTTATTATTATAGTTAATACTTTACACTACATATTACATAATATCAAATATTAAAGACAAATAAGTAAACAATGGAGCCGATTCTGAGGAGCCATTTTTCCAAAACTATTTCCTAATCAATATTTTAACTTAATAAGTTCGCGAAATTACTGTTTTACGGATCATTAAATTATCAAAAAATGTGTTTATATGGGTACAACTTACAATAAAGATTTCGTTATAATATCAAATTAAAATTTCAATTTTAGAGATAACTCAGAATCGACCCTAATGTTTCTCTTATAATTCTAAATATTTATTAAATAATTCTTACCAATTAAATATGTATAAAATCGAATTAAGAATTTTTAATTATAATTTATACAGTCATATTCGCAAAATCACATTATTGATAATCGAGATAAGAGCATTATCATTAAACATATATGAACTACTTATATATGAATGGTATATCTTGGGATGTATTCATTAAAGAAAACTTAGGCTATTTGCTTTGATACGGTCGATTCATTTCTAACAGTGGTAGACCAAACTGAATACAATCGCCACTGTTTTAGTAATTATATTATGTACTAAAACAGTTTAGTTTTACCATCATTATCAAGAAATAAATAAGTACATTTCTAAAAAGATGAACTGAAATAAATAAATGTGTAAGTATTATAATGTTTCAATAATATGACATTTCCTATTTATTTCTACATTAAGACATTAAAAAAAATATCACAGGAATCTATTAAAAAAATATTACACAAAATAATTTCCATTGTAACTATAGATATTTTATAGTAATCTCTATTACTTAAACAACAGCCATAACCTCAAATTTTTAATCGGGGCCTGCATGATTCCTTAAACATTTTAAGCCTCTGCTCTCTTCTTGAAGTATATTGGTTTTTAATTTTTGAAAATTTGACAGTCCCGTGGCCAAAACATCAATTTCTTGCCCAATCTTCTGTTGTACTTCTGGCACTTTAGATTCGTTCATTTTTACCATACAGTCATTGAGGTGTTCTATTAACATTTCAGTTTGATTCAACATAGCATTAGCATATTCCACGTAGCCCTTTTGTTGGGGGTTTGTTGTCGATAATTCTTCATTATATTTCTTTAAATGTTCATGTTTTGCAACTATTCTATGATCCGGTGTTGTTATAACCATTCGGTAGGGAACTGCATCATGGATTAAATGTATAAGAGATATTATCTGGTCAGGTGTCCTGGAAATAATAAAATTAAATAGTTTTATTTACATATTATGCACCAGATAATATAAATTCGTTTGCTTGGATACCTCTTTCCCATTCGTGTTTCAACTGAGAAACAGTTATGTTTGTATGGCTTTGTTTCAGTTTGAAGGGTGAAATATGGCAGAAAACTTATAGGATACAGAAACATACCACCTTAGTCTTGAGGGGGAAAAAGGATTGTTAATAATAGGGATTAATAATCCTATTACTAGCAGTATACCCTATCAGGTCGACCTCTTTGCGGTTCCCCCTGGAAACCATTGTGATCAATTCATTGGTAAATCTGTCACGATGGGCTTACTGACCTGATTCATCTTCACTTATCATCCCTCACTGGTATCCCACCAGCGTATACTGATAGTGCAAGCAGAGTGATAATACCATTGTCATCCATTAAAAAAAATACAGCTTAGTCCTCAGGAAAGGCAACGCATGGGGGGTATCATGGGCGAAACAGTATACTCTGTTACTACTCATGTCTATAGGCAACAGTTATCACTTTCCATCAAGTGAGCTGTCAGCTTATTTGTCACTCTTAGTTGCATAAAAAATTAACTTAATTGGTGAAAAATTGTCAAACATTTTGTGTATCAATTAAAAGTTCTGACTAACTCTTCAAAAATGGTAGGAAAAACATTGTTAGTAATTGGCTCTAACAGCTCCATTGCTAGCAATATACTTTATCAGATTGACCTCCATGCAATTTCCTCTGGAAACCATCGTGGTAAATTCTTGTGGAATGAATCATGATGGGCATTTGTACTTATTTTATCCTAACTTATCATCTCAGTGGCATGTGGACAAGTCGAGTGTTATATTTACCACAACACGTAATTTTATATGTAATATAATTCAGATTCTAGGCAAATCAACAATAGCAGAGATTTATTCAGATCAAAATTGAATTAGTTGGATGGCAAAATATAACATAATATATGGGTAAACATTGGAAAACATTTACAATATAATAATAAAATATAAAAAAAAAAACACAAATGTAATTTATAGTACAAGAATTTACCTTGTGTAAACTGAAAATTCCTTAACTTGTTCATATTGACACTTCTTTTCAGATGGGAAAACAATCATAACACTGTGTAGAATATGATATGGCGAATTTCTATGTATAACAATATTTGGTGAACTTTGAATTTGTTCCATGCCTAAGTATTTACAAAATGTGTCCGGAATATGCAATTCGGATACATTAGCCACCTTAACGTGGCGTAAATATAAATCATTTTTTTGTGTGGTTGACAGAATAGATAGTACTGTGTATGGATCTGAAAAGTAAAAAATAATAATGGTTGAGATATCATGCCTTATACCATACTTAATTCTCAGAAAGTACAATGTATGAAATAGCATGGAATCACTGTGTATTTTGTATTGTCTCAAAAGCTGTTCCTACTCATATCTATAGGCGAAGATTACTACTTTTCAATGTAGGCAGATAGCTTGGTTGCCATTTATAGTTATAACATTGATAAAATTAAAGATATGAAATAAAATATACAATAAAATTACCTATTATATCACTAGATAGTACATCAAAATTTTCTCCCATGGTTTGTAAAGTTGATATGTTAACAGGCTCAAAAGGCAAGATATATTCACGTCTATTTGCCTTGTATACCAACACACCACTAAATTCAATGCTGCTTATAACATTTTCCTTCATTTCCTTGATATCAATAACAGCAATTATTGCATACTCTTTGTTACATTCAACTGTCTGCAATTTACTCTCTATCCAAAATGGTTCAATATTTGTTTTTTGAAATAATTTTGTGGAATAAACTAGTGATGGTTTGTTTGTAGAATGAAGAAGGATATGCACATCTTCCATAGCACTGAAATAGAAGTACTTAATTGTAAAATCCAAAATTGATAAATAAATATTTATTATATATTATATATATGAATGTATGATACAACATTAGAAAATACTCCAGTTGGTGCAGTTATAGTATTTAATATATTTACCAGCTTTAGTTTTACTTAAATATATATATTAAGATTTACAGAGCAACAATAAGATAGTCTTGTAGTAGTATAGTGTCACACACAGAGGGTATCTCAACTGCGCAATGAATATACCAGAGGGAGAGTGTGTACAAAATTCGATTGCTTGGGTACCTCTGTCCCCTTCGTGTTTCAACCATGAAGCAGTTGTGATTGCATTGCTGTGTTTCGGTTTGAAGGGTGGGATATGGTGTGAATTTACTGGGTACAAAGGAATAACACCTGAGTCCTCAGGAATGGCAATGCATGGGGGGTATCATGAACGAAACAGTTTACTCTGTTATGTATCATGTCTATAGGCGACAGTTACCACTTTCCATCAGGTGGACCATCAGCTTGTTTGCCACAGTAGTATAAAAAAAAAATTTAATTTGGAGGGTAGTATAGTGACTGTTGTATTGTATTAATATGCACAGCTTACCTACTGTATTTATGCTGGTCCTCCATTGTCTAGACATGTATTACTGTTAACAATGGATACATATAGAACAACATATTATGCCAATCCCAAATAAAATCAGGATAAAGGTAGGAAGATGAGAACATATAATAATTAATAATTATTAGAGATTACATTATAAGTTAGTAAAATAAAATTTTACTTACTTCTCATTGTCATTAATGATTTCCAAAATTATAACAATATTTTTATTACACATTTTAACCCAAGGTGTAGAGGTTTTTATCCTTAATGCACCAGCCATCTAGAAGCATAAACAAACAAATTAAAAAATAATCTTATACAATAGTCAGAAAATTATAATAACTTTCATTATTGTAATTATTATCAGCTGGCATTGCTTTTTTCACATTTTAAATGTTTCAAATTTACATGTGCAGCAACAAACAGCACTTTGGTGGCAAACACAGCTATGAACTGCTCTCATGAATAAAGGCTCCTATTGATTATGAAAGAGAATAAACAAAGAGTTGGTGTCAAGCAGGTTGCCAGTCATAATTCCAGGCCAAATCTTTTAGCAGTGTAAAGATTTGTGGAGGAAGAAAAATATTGCACCAATCCCAAATAAATGGAAAAAGGCACTGCAATAACGATGATTGAGTTTGCAACTAGTTGGGCACCCTTGAATTTAAAATGTGAGTAAAACAGACATAAATAATTACAATACAGTATAACTCACAATAGTTATTAAGGAACAATTTCATTTTTATCATGCTTACTTACATCTTTAATATCACTCTTGAATACGGAATCATCAAAATTTGGATTAATTTTTTGATATGCTATTAACGTTGTCATTTGGCGTAAATTTATAAACTCCTGATGTATATTCTCCTTATATTTCAAAATAAATTGTGTTTCAATTAATTTACGTTTCAGATCATTTAAAATGGGTACATTCTCATCAACATGTATATCAGACAGCAACAAAGATTGTTCACCAAGACCATCAAATTTATCATTACAGATAAGTGGCCTTGCATCACGTTTATAAATTACTTTCAAGCATGGTTGACCTGTACAGGCTACATCTTCTATGGTATAACTCTTAATTTCATTTACCGTTTTATGAACATCAAAAATATCGTCTCTTTTAAAAATAAAAAGATGATCTTCAGCTGCCACTACATAAAAGAGTTTACAGGCACTGTTTCTAAGTATTATGATCTTATCCGCTTTTAAATGAGAAGGGATATACGATTCTCCAACTTCTTCTCGCTGGAAATATTCCTTTATTTTTCCAGAATATGTACAAATAATGACATCAATATTTCTGTTATCTCTTGGATGATTATCATAGAACACGAAACAAGCGATTTCCTCAAATATTGATAATGGTACTAACCTCATTAGATCCTCTCGAACATTATCAGGAATTTGTAACATTTTGATTGTGGAATAAATTAATAAAAGTTAAATCGATTTTTTATGATGTTATATGTTTGTTGTATTCAAAGTATTTATAATATAAAACAAAATTTAGATTCAATGGTAAATAATAAATAAACATTAAAAAGTGACAGTTAACAGTGCCGGCTCATCTTGCATGATCTTGCCGGTTAGCCCCTATCCATGACACTTCTAATAAAAAAAAATATTATACAAATCTATGCAGTCATTTCATTGAATTTGAAAGTTTTTTCCTTATAGTTTTTTTTTTATTTAAAATACCCATTACTTTCGGTTTTTTTTGCACAAAAATATTGTGACTAGATACATGACACCATAAATATTTATTTTATTGTACAATAATCCCGCCTATAACACGGTAGCTTAATTTATATAGATAGTGTTTCCACATACCACATTTACCAGAGGGAGACTTTGTACAAAAGTCGATTGCTTGGGTACCTCTGTCCCATTCGTGTTTCAACCGTGAAGCAGTTGTGTTTGCATGGCTGTGTTTCGGTTTGAAGGGTGGGATATGGCGTGAATTTACTGGGTACAGAGGAATAACACCTGAGTCCTCAGGAATGGCAACGCATGGGGGGTATCATGGGCGAAACAGTATACTCTGTTATGTCCATGGTACTGCTCATGTCTATAGGCGACGGTTACCACTTTCCATCTGGTGGGCCGTCAGCTTGTTTGCCATTCTAAGTTCTATAAAAAAAAAAAAAAAAAAAAAAAAAAAAAAAAAAAAAAAAAAAAAAAAAAACATATAATGTTTTAAAAAAGCGAGTTAACTTTTTCCTACAATTGTGTACGCGACAATGTTGCTAAATTAGAAATTATTACTTTATCTAATTATATTATTTATTTATGAAGAATAATGCATAGATAAAAAATAAGAATGCAGTAGAAGGAACTACATAATTCTGTCATTACTTTAAAAATTAGTAAAATTTTGAAATAAAGGTTGATAATCGGTATTTGTGGATCTATGCATACTATAAATATATTACGGATAATGCCACTAAAATAACGGCCATTTTAAATACTTTTTACTTCAGCGATTTATTTGAATACGAATATCTCAGAATCTTGGTACATTTAAAATATGTGTTGATGTTAGAATTAATTGTAGTCGGGATCAATTTTAATTTAAAGTTTTTGCAAATACTTACGTTTGAGAGATCATTTTTACTAGATCACAAATTTATCATTTATACGATGGATTGGAATCGTGTAATATGAAAATGCGTTATAAGAGTACTGTGTTATTATCACTGTGGAGCATTAATACAGTAATCCCCCTGCGTTACTGTATTTATGCTCCACGGTGGTTGCATAGATTATTTTTCTGTTAAGGTAGTGCCATCTCTTTATTATCACAGCAGAGTTTGTTGTGCCTTTTATTACCATTGAACATTATGATTTTAACAATTAACTTGACATTGACAAATAGCGTCTTGAGGATGACATGTCTATTTTTTTTTTTTATGAGTGAAACGGTATGGTAACCCCGCCTGCGATAACGGGAAACGCTGGCGAAGCACCAGTGAAGGGTGATAGATGAGAATGAAAACAAGTCAGTTAGCCCATCATGATGAATTCATCAGGAATTAACCATGATAGTTTCCAGGAAGAACCGCGAAGAGGTCGACTCGGTTGGGTATATTGCTAACAATGGGATTCTCAGTCTCCATTATTAACAATCCCTTTCTCCCCTGACATGTCTATTATCATCACAGATTAAAAGTTGATCAATGGGTGAAGTGAAAATTGGATTGGTAACCCGGCTTACGCTAAAGGTATACATTGCCGATATACCAGTATGGGACGACAGATGAGCATGAAAGTCCGTTAGTTAATTCCCAGGAGGAGCCACGTGGAGGTCCACCTAATAGGCTCTTTAATGGATTATAATGGAATGGTAGCCTCGCCTGTGCTATCGGTATACACTGGCGGGGCACCAATGAGAGTGCTATATTACCATATAGTACGTGTGGGGGAAGGGATCGTTAATAACGGGGAGTATAATTCCCATTGCTATCAATCATCTGGTCAACCTCCACGCGGTTCCCTCTAAAAACCATCGTGACAAATTTATTGTTGAATCCTTCACGATGGGTTAACTGACCTGTCTTTTTATCCTCACCATTCATCCCTCACTGATGTCCCGCTAGTGTATACCAATAGAGCAGGCAGAGTTACCATTCCATTATCACCCATAAAAAATATAGTACGTGTATGTCAAATTTCATAGTAATTGGTTTAGCTGTTACGGCACTAAAATGTAATAAACAAACTCACATTCACATTTATAATGTTAGTAAGAATTATTAGCTTCTATCCACGACTTAATCTTCGTTCTTTTCTTGAAGTTTACCGTCATCATCATCATCATGTCAACCTTTAACTGTCCACTGCTGGGGGGAAAGGGATTGTTAGTAATGGAGACTGAGAATCCCATTGCTAGCAATATACCTAACCGGGTCGACCTACTCGCGGTTCTCCCTGGAAACTATCATGGTTAATTCCTGATGAATTCATCACGATGGGCTAACTGGCCTGTTTTCATTCTCATCTATCACCCTTCACCGGTGCTCCGCCAGTGTATCCCGTTAGCGCAGGCAGGGTTACCATACCATTTTCACCCATCAAAAAAATAAAACAATAATAGGGGGGAGAAGGGAATTGTTCCATTACCATCCATAACAAAATATCCTGTGATAACCCTAGACCTAACAAACCTAGTGATACAGACTGATATATCGCAATGTTCTGTTTAAAAGTTACGTATGGATTAACGTCCTCCACAGCTTTTTTTATTTTATTTTAGTTGTACCACAGCACAGTCCGTCACACAGTGTTAATAAAGTAGATAGCTGCCGCGGTAATGTGAACCCTTGTTACACGGCAGACAGGCAAATTGTAACACGTGGATAGGTAATTGGAACGGAAACAGTTGGTACCTACTTATGTATAGTTAAAGGTGCAGTTATTTGTAGAATAGGACTTACTAATTGTATTTACCTACTCCATAGTCCTACAGCGGCCTCGATTCAGACGCGTCTTTTCTCTAAAAGATAATTTTAACCTAATATTTTAATTCTGGTTTCGCAAAATTACTGTTTTATCTGTTTTATAAAACACTAGCACGCCAGGGGGAGATTTTGTACAAGACGTTTGTTTGGGTACATTTATCCCATTCGTGTTTCAACCGTGAAGAAGTTGTGTTCGCTTGACTGTGTTTTGGTTTGAAGGGTGGGGTATAGCAGTGAATTTACAGGGTACACAGGAATAACACCTTAATCCTCAGCAATGGAATTGCAAGGGGATATCATGGGCGAAACAGTATGTACTGTACAGTCTATGGTATTGCTCATGTCTATAGGCGGCGGTTACTACTTTCCATCAGGTGGGCCGTCAGTTTGTTTAACCATTCTAAGTTGCATAAAAAAAACTAGCGACCTGCCCCGACTTCGCACGGGTGCAATATTTGTTTGTGTAATTTTTAAACTGTTCAACACATTCATGTGTAAAAGTACTGCACTAATATTTTTTAAAATTTGAAAACAAGCCTATTTAGCAATTTGATGTGCATTTATGACTTTATACGCGTTAGATGCGCGTTTAAAAGGCCGGCAGCACACCTGCAATGTCTTTGGTGTTGTGGGTGATCATGGGAGGCGGTATTTACTTACCATCAGGCAAGCCTTATGCTCATTTGCCCCCTGTGTTATAAAAGGCAGCCGTTTCTTAAGTCTTATACATCAGATCTTTTTGCGAGGAAATCTACATATTTTTGACATCAGATAGCGCCACCTCTATGCAAGTTGTAGTAGTAATGATGGAGCCGTATACTAAATACTGAGATTGTCAATGTGAATAATTAAAAATAAAATAGAATCTACCTACGCGCGACCATAAATTGTACTCGCCGCCATAAATTGTACTCGCCATCATAAATTGTACTTAAACAAAAATAAAATTATTTTTCATATAGGTAGGTAGATAAATCGGTTTGAAAAGAGTAAATCCCTAGTTTTTACTTCTTAAAATAATTTTCTTTTTCTCTGCACATTCTTAATCTGAGGTAGATTGATAAAAATGGCTGGCTATGCGTAAATTATTACAATAAAGTATAAAAAAATATTTTTATTAATATTTATTTATTTATTAATATTATTTTATTATTAATAATATTACTATACACATTAAATAATTGCCGTATAATATGGGCATAAATTGGACCACCTCTTGCTTTCCCGTAGGTGTCATAAGAGGCAACTAAGGGAACGATCAAAGTAGTATAGTATTATATTATCTGTAGTCAAAGGATGGACAGTAGCGTTCCTCTTAAAAGATCACCAAAGCCTAACTGCAGTTGTTGACCCGCCTGCTATGCGTGACAACTACTGGCAAAACTCTTTACACTTTATTAATAAGAATTAAAATAAATATTCGTGTCTCTGTAGTTTATCAAAAATTTTCGCTAGGAGCCTTTATTCATCTTAAAAGATATAGTGGAACGCGATTTTTTTACCGATATTATGTTGATTCGCTCCAATTCGCCATCGCGACAGAAAAACAGACGACAGTGTACTTCCATTAGTGGTGGTCTAAGAAAACAAACTGATCTAGTATTAGCATTAAGGTGACCTTGTATCCGTTTACCTAGATTTCTGAATGCGTAAGCCTTCTTGGGAACACAGATAGGTATATTGTATTGTAAAATCTTTAATGTATTATAATTTACATTAGACACATTAAAAGATATACAATGGTGGACTTATCCTATAAAAGGATCTCTTACATTCAACCTTTGAGAAGCAGAAAGAAACCTATAGAATGTTCAAGAGTAAAAACCGTACAGCTAAAGATAGACTCCAAAATATTTAGTTAAAATTTAACATATAATACTATAAAAAGTAACTGTATACACCTACATATGTGAATAATAATAATACATATTAAATATAATAATAATAAACCTAGAAACACAAATACATACAAAAACAATAACATAGATACATATATTCACAATTGGCTCAATGAAAAAGGAGTTTCAGAAAAAAATTTATGATACCTGTTTTAAAAGATTTTAATGATTTTACCATCTTCAAGTTATTAAAAAGTGAATTTCAGAAACGTGTAGCATGTAAATGAGTTGGCATAGCTTTAAATATTAAAACAAGGCAAATCCATAATGAAGTCATTACT